GAGGAGAGGAGAGGAGAGGAGAGGAGAGGAGAGGAGAGGAGAGGAGAGGAGAGGAGAGGATTACTGATTACCTCAGTTGCATGGAAAATGTACCATTGCAGCTATCAACAGCAGGAGCTCAGCAAATCCATCTCATTTCTGAAAGTTATTTAAAAAGGAAGAAGGTAATTACAGAACAAACAGAGATGTTGTTACTTACACCATACAGCTCTGTGCGGATTCTTACAAAACACCTCCTGTACCAAGTTCCAGTATCGCTCTCAATTTCTATGAGCTCATCTATCTGCTTAGGTGTTTTGATTCTGGTAACCTAGAAATAAAAACAGAACAGAACAGAAATAAAAAAAATGTTCATAGTTTATGGGTTAATGAACTGCCTATGGAGGATTGTTGGTGGGGTTTATTACACTCCATCTACTAAAAATTAGTAGATATTGAACCTGGGTCTACACTAGACATGTTTTAGGTTTATAAAGGAATATTAACACACTGTAATGCCAAAGTCTTTATGGATGCAACAGTTTCAGAAAACTCTGTGTTCAAGGCATGCAGGAAATACATTTCCTTTGGTTACAATAAGCTGTTGCTATCATATTTTTCTACAGAGTTGTTATATATACCCTCGATGCCACAAAAGATAATTTCATCCACCAGAATGAATGGATAAACCATGCCCAGAATTTGCCTTCAAATTGTTTCTGACTTGCTATCACAACATTGTTGGAAGTCACTTGATTAAAGACACAGCAATGAAAATAGAAGTATTCAAAATGTCGTTAATTAGTAGCTGGACAACCTTTTTATTATTATTTTATTTTTTCTAGTGTTAAACAGAAAACTTAATGAAGAGAGAAGAAGTTAGGTGAAATTATCTGGAACCATGTATATTATTGCTATTATGAACAATTATCTACTTATCTAAAGTGAAATGAGATAAACAGACATCAGAGAAAAATACTGAATTACCAGTGACAGAGAATGTAATGCATCCCACAATTCTAATTTTTACTTTTACTCTCTTGTGTAGCAGAACCAGGTTCAGATACACAAGAGAGTAAAAGTAAAAATTAAAGAAAGAAAAAGAAATCAAAGAAAAAAAAAAAGAATTAAATAAAAAATGAAAATTCAATGGTAGAACCATGGTCTTTCCAGACACAGGACCCGACAAACATATTGCTATATGGTTTTTGTTGTAGTTTTTACTCTGATCCTAGCTTCATAGTGATATCACAAAACGTAGTGTATTCATCCACATGAATAAAGATTTTAAAAGAAGATAAGTAGAGAACAGAAAGAATATTAATAAAATAGGGAAAGGGACTGACACAGAAGGAAGAGGAGAGCAAAAGACTGCATGTTTAGTGTTTGCCTGCAGTTTCTGAAGTAAGACATATCTTCTGTTTCTTCTTAACAGAATGAAAACAGCCCCTGCCCCCACCTCCAATGCATCACAGTGGATTCAGGCCATCAGGGAATAGCAGTATTAATGATAAAGGTCAAGTTTTGAGCCCACTGGTTTTACAGATGTATACAGGTTTTACAGATGTATACTGTTTGAGATGCAACAGCAGCATCATCCCATGAACAAGAACACAGAAAAGCCCCCTAAGCAGTTTGAGGTATACTGCCCTCATTTCTCAAGTACTACAGCTCGCTGTTTTGCCAGATCATGACTTTATCAAAGGCCTGTAACCTTCTTGTCATGCCTCTTCTAATAACTGCATCCGCATCATTGCACTATCTCAAGCTTTTCTTAAACTGCTTTCAGGAAATATGTTATACAAAAGACTGAATCAGGTCCTCAAAAATTATCTGGTATCCCCTACATACAGAAATCCTTACATATCACTCCTCTAGGCAGAAAAGGAATGCCTTTGGAATCTCACTCTTGTGGGCTCAGGGACAGCATTTTCACTGTACTGGGGCATCTGACTCAGTTGGAGCTGTGGAGATTGAGGGAAACATATATCCACTATATGTGACTGGGGACAGAAGTTCCCTGGTCTTTGTGGTTCTTTAACATATGAAAAATCCTATTGAGTCAGGAAAATAGTCCATCTGGAATATGCAAATCCACCATGTCAGTGTATGAAGAATGAAAAAACACCCAAAACCAGAGAAGAAAACCTATTTTAATGAAAACGGTGCTTCTGTGTAAAAGCAATGGTTACTAATATGCAAGGTTCACAATTTAAAAAAAACAAGACTTGTTGCAAAGAGAAATAATTGCAGGAAAAGGAATTAACACATGGTAATTGAGGAGTAGAGAAAATTTTGATTTTAAGGATGCAAAGCCTGTTGTTTTTTTTTTTTTTTGGTTTTTTTTTTTTTTACTTAAATATTTAAACCAGGCGGTCTAATGAATAGGTATTTTAAAAACCCAGAAAGATAATAAAGCATGTACATAAACATCTAACTTTGGTAGTTCCATGATTGAAGATACTACCAACTTATTGGTGTCTGTTAGTGTCACTGCTTTCAGGACAAATTCTTCAAAGTATGAAGAGTCACCCTCTAAATTAATTCAGGAACTAGAATATTCCATTTTGGATTAACTCTAAAGCCAACTACTTGTCAATTGATACCATCTCTTTCTAAAGGCTTGAATATAATCCCCTCAATAATATGAGTAACAAGAATAAGCATAACTTGTGAAAAAAAAAGCTGATAGAAAAAGATTAAATCAATATAATACAGGAAAATGCATAAACCAAAATGACACCAAAACTATAGGTGTAATGGGAAAAAGTTACATCATCTGTAGAGTCAGAAAACATACTCTCAAAGTGTGTCTGATGTAACTAACATTAAGTGGATGAAAATAGTAAAGCATGAGTCATAGAATGGCATTGGATAAGCAAATGAGGAGTATAGAAAGTTTAGGAGAAGTATGTTAATAAATTACTGAGGAAAAAAATGTCACAATATTGAGGACTAACAGAAAAAAAAGAAACTAAAAGGGTAAGTCAAGTAAGTTCTTTGCTTTCTGGGTTTTATGAGATGAAGTGCTGATGTTGGACAAAAATTTTCTAATCATTTTAATGCAAGCTAAAAATAGGGACTTCTATGTATGTCTAACCTTGACACACAGCACAGTATTTCTAGTCTCAACTTGATATATAGAGTAGAGTTTTCCTAATGCTCAAGGCAGAAACTGGTAAAATTAATGGCTGACCAATTTACAAAAGTGACTGTAGATAAAGTGTCTGAGTGTCCCATTTTAACAACCATACACACAAAGGCTTGTTAGATCACAAGAGCTGGAAACAACAAGCATGTGCTTTGGTTTGTTCTCGACAGCTGCTTTAGGACGTGATTACAATTACGTCAAAGTGACGTGAGAGGTTTATCCTTCCACCCACATTTTCTCCTAGCACATTTCTGTCTTCTTCCTTGTGCTTAAACCAATACTAAAGACGAACAGGGTCAGCACTATGGCTGACTGTGAAATCAGTTAATGAATATCAATAGTAGCAGAAAAAAAACCTCTGAAGTCACCAGGAGCAGGCATACTCCATCTGAAAGCTGCTCAGATCAGCAAGAGCCAATTGTGAAATTACATCATAGCTGTATGGTGTTAGGCAATTTACTCATAAATTAAATCAGAAAATAAAATATTAGATTAGGTGGGATTAGGGGTAGGTCACCAGTGTACCAATAAATGTGGATTTAACATGGTAAATGTGCTAACCAGCTTTCTTTCAAGTTAAATATAGGGTTTCTTTAGCTTCTTTGTGGAAAGGTTTAAATTGAAGCAATGGAAACTACATTCAAGGCAGCAAACAGCAAATCTCAGTGGAATATAAGTTATGTGGTCAGATGGTCATTCCTCAAGACTGCCTGCAAATGCAGAACCTTTAAGATGATTTCTTAATTGAGTTACATGTGCATTAAAATAAGAAGAAAGCTTCTGGAAGAGGAAAAACATCCCACACATGGCTCTGAGGGAGCAGAGTGCACATACTGCTACAGCTCTGTTGTGGATAGAGAGGCCAACTGGATTTCAAAGCAAGAAAGTGCTGTTTGATCCTACTGTATCCAGGAAGACAAGATTTTTTCTATAGTCTTCATAAATAACAAAGATGCCATTAAAAAATCCATTTTTGAATTGGCAATTTCTCCTCCAATAGAAACAACCCATCAATACTTTAAATAGGGTTTTATAATTAAGCCTCAAAAAAAGAATTTGAGCCTCCCAGACATTTTGAGAATATTAAATGTTTGAAATTAAGATTTAATAGAAATGAAGATGTAGTTTATAAAACCATTGTTTTACCTGATAAGAATGGGAACAAATTCCAAATCCTAAAGACACAGCAGCTAACTAATTTGGACTTTTATGTGCGTACTATTATTACGAAGGGTCAAACTTAGTAAATAAAACACAGGTAGAATCTATTAACTATCTTGGTACACCAGATAAAATTGTCATGCAGTGGCTTCATACATTCATTAATATACTGGCCAAAGGATGATTTCTTAGCAGACTTTATATATATAACAATTTCAGTAGGAATTCACAGTATTTTTTATTTAGGTATTTAGCAATACTCACAGTGAAGACTTTCTCGGGCTGACCACGAGCACGCATGTTTGTGTCATGAATTTGCTTGAGTATCATCCAAGCTTCATCATGTTTTCCAACCTAAATGTTAGAACAAAACGTGAAAGTGCAACATATATACAAATCAAGTTACTACCTATAGCTCCTGAATTATCTAAATGTCTGTTTGGTAGAAGTCATATATAAAACAGAAATAATTTTCACTGGAATCTAGAAACTGTTTGGGATGTTATACCTCCAGCAGGAACCGTGGGCTTTCCGGCATAAAGGTGAGGGCAACCACAGAAGAGACACAAGGCAGTGCACAGACAATCACAAATACTCGCCAGCTGTGGAACTGGTAGGCAGAGCCCATGCTGAAACTCCATCCTGTGGAAGCAGAAATTCAGAAAATGTAGACAAATATTTGAGTATTATATGTGTTGTCCTTTATATGTTGCTTCTCGGACATGCAAAAAGATACCTGTATTTAAATGAAGCCTGACTGATATATTTCCACAAATATTGGTCATCTAAAAAGTAGTTCTACACTATGACTTTTAGCCTCTTGTATGACTAATAATACTGGAAAGTGGTTGTATTATGGATAAAAGGCTTTCTTGTGCAGGGATGAAGAAGATTTTTTCAATTCTCTTAGCAAAATCTTTATTAAGGTAGTTATGTGAACCAAACAGGGACATCGTCACCATGCATAAGAATATATATAGAAGGAAATAGTTTACTATGAACAATGGAAGTGGAGAGACTTAAAAATCTACACACAAACGATGTATTTTCTGCAATTGCATAGATTTCCTTAACAATAACTTTTTCTACAAAGTTGATTTTGATACCCTTAATAAGAACCACCCATGTGACTGCTAGTTCTGGTTTTTAATGAAGTATATGCTTGGTTGGTATATTATGACTGACTATTGAAATGTTGTAATTATAAGAAAACTAAGAATTTATCTTAAGAAAGAGAAAAGTATTATTTGGGAACTACTTGGCCTTTTATTCTGGCTTCAGCATAGCAGGAATTTTCATGTAAATTTTCAATGATAACTTATTAAAAGGTGAGTGGAATATAAGAATAATGGTAAAGGACAGAGGAGGTTACTGGAAGACAATGAAATCTTGGGTAATGAAAGAACTGAAACACTGGATTAATCTATTATTGTTACATGATTTTTCAGGTTGTTTACTGACATCCCTCTGTATGGCAGTAAATAACTGGTAGGACATAGTACCAAATGGCCTAATGAGTATTTCTCAAAAGGAGGTATTTATGTGAGAAATGAAAAGTGTGTTTCAGGATGTAAACATTCTATGCTGTGGATCATAAACACATTATTGGGAAAAAATTTCTCATATTAATGTACTTACATACTACCACATGGAAAACACTATCAACCCATGATTTATTTTTATTCTTTGTCAATGGTTTGGTGAAACATCTTGATGAGTAGATGTGGGAATGTGTGTATTTCTGGTCTCCTACAAACTTCCTTTGTTTCTGAAATTATATCAGTGTGCTCTGCAGCCATTCAGCACTGTCACCTTTACCTCAGGGAGAAAGGGATAAAATCTGTAAGAGTATTGACTCTTGGAATCCCATGTCATTTTTTCAAGTAAGACTCCATATAGGACATACTTTGCTGCTCAAAATATCCTTCCAAATAAACCAGGATGCCTAAAAAATAATGGTAAATTTTATTCCTAAATAAACCCTGTAATTAAAATTTACAAACATAAAAGTGTATTAGAATTCACTCTTTATTGATTTTTGGAAAATGTTAACATTTGCTCTTATGGAATTTCAAGTCTTAAATCATGTGGGTTTATTTTACATCTAAATTGTGAAGGGAAGGAAGTAAAGAAAGGTTTACAGTGTGTTAATGAAGCAATTAGAGACCATACCTGTGCTTTGGATATTGTGTACATATTTTATTCTAATAATTAGAATCATATTCTAATTATTATGTAATTTACGTAATTTAAGGTCTAGAACAAAAGCACCTGGTGCAGAATTTGTAAAATAACTTTTTGGTGAAGCAAATTTTTTACTCTGATCAGTGAGTTGATCTGAATCCCTGGCATCTGTGCAATTGCTAGTGCTGCAGGGAAGGCAGCACAGGATGGAAGTTTTCATCTTTCAGAATGTTCAGTATCAGCCAAGTACTGGCTTTTCTTGTTACTAGAAACTGTTCCAGAAATACACGAAGCCACTGGTATAGTTAGGCAATCTGCCTTTCACAGCTCCAGTTTATGTTTTATGAGATTGGGCTATAGAAAGGGCAGTTCTGCAGTACGTGAAATCAACCTGGCTTTATACCACTTATAAAATAACAGCAACATCTTGTGCTCTGTAGCCAGTCCTGGAAAATGCTCTTGGTAATTTATTTTTAGTTGTTATTTATTAATATAACTGAACCATACTACACTTAATTAAAAGCAATAAATGCACTGTTCATTCTGCTATCATTGTGACAACCTACAAAACATCTTTTTTACTCCACAAAATACCCAAGGGGCATGTCAAGTGAAATGTTTGTTATAGTTTTTATAGCTTTTGTTCCATCTTTTTCACTATGTACTGTATTAGCTGCTGCAATTTATCTTGTGATTTAATGTATCTGCTGAATGAATGATGGATAGGAATGTCATTATTATAAAAAACAATTTGTAGAAAAAAGCTGGAGCTGCACAGATCTTTCTGGAGGTTTTTCCTCCCATCTATTCCAACACCAGCACTAGATCAGCAAAACAAACATGTATTTCAAATGCATAGCAAGTTTGGATTTATTTTTAAATTTAACTGATTCTTTTTCCCCAGGTCATGAGCTAATCTGGATAATGGAGCCATTAGAGCAGCTCTGAATTTAGCTCACAAAGTGGCTTTCATTCCCTTTGTATGCAAGTCTTGGAAGTAAATAAAATTGTGTTCTTGGCTGTAAGTCAATCTCCTTCTCCCCTGATTCATGGCAAAATAGCAAAAGCACAGCAGCACTACATGGCTGCATTTAGTTCACTGCTCAAAACTGGAGCCGACCTTCACCCTTGCTCCCTGGCTATGCTGTACTCAAGAGTCATTAATCTTGAGAATGGGGGCAAGTCACAATGTTTTATGAATTGCAAAACATTTGTCCCAAGTGCATCCTGGGAGTAATGTGCTGTAGAGCAACCCAAAACCTGTGATGGCTGAATCTGAAGCTACTACAGGCACCTTTGTGCTAAATAGTACCCTCCTGCTCTCCTGGCTGCTGGAAAAGGCCAGGTGAATCACAGACATGGCAATTACTGATTACAGAAACACAAGAGCACACAGCGGAGCAAAATCAAAATGTACAAGATGCTAATCTGTATCCAATCACCAATTTATGAGTTGAGTGCGTTTTCAACAAAATCTTGTCTCACAGAACAGCAAATTATCAGCCCCATAATATTAATATATCAAAAAGATATTATAGAGTTTTTGCTCCAAAGGAGAGAAAAGATAATCTGTCATAGACTTTCTAAATATATACAGAGGGAAATCTGTCCACATTACGATGAATTTTATGAATTTATAACACTTGATAAACAGTAAGTACATTCAAGCACAAGGATCCTCTCCTGCAGTACACATATTACTAGACAGCTTGTTTATGGGATGATTTGCTAACCTTTCTACAGTAGGGGTTGCAAGGAACATCACAGATCTCTATAAACTCATACCTGTTGCACTAAACTGCAATGTGGGCAAATATACAAATACAAATACAAGTATACAAATACTGGAAGCAAAGAGACAGTTTATATATACCAGAGGAATAAAGTGGTGAACACCTTTCTAAGACACTAGAGTTGGCAAATAAAATCCAATCAAATATTGTGATTTTATGGCATGGTTAGCTAAAGACTGAGCATTTGGACAATTTTTGTCCAGTACAAATGAGATAAACTAATTTCATGACAGTGTCATAAATTGCCAAAACCTGTTTTTTTTTCATAGATTTCTGTGTTTTAGTAGATCAAAGGAGGGAGTAGATATAGAAACATACTTAAAAATTACAGATGGGGGAGGGAAAAAGAGAACTAATGAACTTACATTAATTTACAGATTTTACATATTCTTCCAAAAATTAATTTACATGACTTTATAACTTTTTTTTATTTCTGTTTTAGCACACAACCTGTGGTCAGAAGTCAGCTTTCTAGTCTTCATTCTCAATGTTTTTCTTTGAAGTATTTATGGTAACTAAGAAGCATGATTGCTCTAAATTGTCACTTGGTGGCACTGTTACCATACTCAATATAAATAAAGCTTAACCCTATTGCAGGAAGACTTTTACTATCAAATTCTGCCGTTTTGTTGAGTATTTCCCAAATCTAAGCTAAAGCAAAATTATGAGGGCTGAAAATATTTTGAAGCTTGCATCATTTAAGCACCTTACTATTGCACTTAATTGTTTTCTGCCCTGGCATTACCAATTTTAACTGTCAATGTCATCTAGGATTTGAGACCATACACTGTAGTGCTACTCATTAGAATAAAGGTGAAACATCACTAAAAAAAAAAAAAAAAAAAAAGAAAAATTTAGGTAAGTTATGTTGCTGAAGAAGATCTGCTACACATATTTACAAAACTGGATGAAAACTGTGGTTTTATACAATTGCAGAAAAGATGTCTTCAGAATTCTTCTGTGTTATATTACTGTGAAATTCCAGTAGCACAAAGTAGAACACCTGTCTTTTCTGTTATTAAATTATTATTATCACCTAGGAAAAGCGATGCTATTTTTAGCCTGTATAGAGAGTTAGATACTCTAAAAACCTAGTCTCAGCAGGTCAGTTGCTGGTAATTTCTGAAGAAGGAATTTGGAAATGAAATAGCTGAATTGTGGCAGGCCGTGATGGAGAGAATTAACAAAGGTGCATGGGTCTCTAGCTAAATGAAACTAGCCCTTGAGGATCACCTGTTCAATGGAAGAAGAATGTAAAAGTGTTCAACAGATGTATTTTGCAAATACATTAGACAAAGAATTGCTCTGCTAACACTTAAAATGTGATGAGAAGGAACAAGGCATTTTCTAAAGACACATTTCCTCTCTCACAGAGGAAGGAGTTTGTAAGCACAGACCCAAGTCACTCCTCTGTGCTGGCATTGATATTTATCTGAAGACCCTTGAAAATCAGGTCTCCAGCCACTCCCATGGCAGTATTTTGTATTCTGACAATCGCTGGGACAGCTGAAAGAAGAATTGATCTTGCATAGAAAATAATTTGCTCTCAAATATTATCAAATCCATTCCTGCATAGCACTGTAATCCAGATGCAGTACCTCTGATCAGTAACATTAACAGTCCACTTTCTAAAGTTCTCTAATATCTGTTGTAGAACTGCCCTGA